ATATATATAAGACGATTATCCAAACTATGTCTAAATTTGTTTTCTTTTCTTTTTTCTTAAGATTTAGAATACTTTTTAACTTATCAAAAATTTTTCTAAATTTCAGAACCAGTAGATCTTCCGGATGAAAAGATGCCAGGTTATGTAGCAGAAGAGCTAGAAGACTGGTGTCGAGACACTGAAAACGTCCCAGAATTTCAAACTTTATATGATGATAAAATTTTTGCTGAAATATTGGATAAAAATCAGAACTCCACAGATGAAGAGGAAGAAGTAGGTGATGAAGTTCTAGATAGTGGACCTTCTCATATAGAAGCATGCAATTCATTAGATATTGCAATGAATTGGCTAGAACGTCAAAATGATGTTGATACAGTTCAGTTCATTTATTACTTACTTGCTGGACTTCTTTTGCAATGGAAAATAAAGAAAATGTGGTAAAATCAGTAATTGACAAAAAAATTATAAAAAGCTGAAATATGATTTTAAAAAAATGAAAAATGAAAAAAAAAAAGTTTTAAAAAATATTTAAAATTTGAGAAAAAAAACTTTAAACAGAGCTATTTTGGATAGTACTGCTAGTCCTAAACCTGGAGAAAGTATGAAGGAAAGTTAATGCATAAATAATAATCATTTAAACTAGATTTTAAACAACTTTCCAATTATCCGAAATTTTCATTATCCGAATCACGTTCGGTCCCGAGCAGTTCCGAACGTGATTCGGCGCTCTACGCATATATATAATTTTCAAAATGTGGAGAAAAAGATATAATAAAACTATCACTTATAAAAATAAAACTTATTGTTTTTCTTAATTTTATTCGTGTATATTTATTCTCCTTTGTTAGTAAATATTTGAAAATACATTTTTAACCACATATTAAATATTTTTGAAGGTCAAAGAATACAATATAAGCGGAAACAGCCGGTTTAGTTCAAAAGTTTTCTTCTTCAGTTTTCAAAGAAACAACATTTATAATTGGGTTTTTAAGATGACGGACGCACAATGTGTACTTTTGTGATGGGAGAAATTTGACAAAGACTATTTCAAAAAATGCAACAAGTTGGTGTTCTGTTTTGCGAAAATCTTACATTTCCGTTAATTACGATTACTAAGAAGTGTTTATACGCAGTTTGATTTAAACAACATGACAATCACCTCTTTCAATTATGCCATTGTTAGAAGATTTATTTTTGTCCACTATTTCCCACTTTATCTTTTTATTCTCTCAGAAAATTCGATTCGACGCTAAAAGTGATATGACTTAAGCCATAATATGGTGCATAAATTTTCTGCAACCTTAATAAAGTTCAAATTTGAACCATATTTCTGATCGAGTTGAACAGTAGTATCGGGTAAATAAGTTTAAAAAAGTACGATAATAACATCATGTTAAAGTTAATATCATATTGAAGGTAATGTATATTAAGGTTTTCATCATATTAAGGTAAGAGCAAACTTGATTAATATTATTTTTTATTACACTCCAAAATTCCAAATTAGGTAGAATGATGCTCCAATTTTACTTGAAACAAGCAACAAAAAATTTTAAGTATTTTACTAAATTCCTTTACTTCTTATGATATTTCATTTATACAAATATATATGTCTTTCTTAGATTTTGTTCAGAAAAAGGTGTAGCTTTTTTCCTTTTATTTAAAAAACAAAACAAAATTTAAGTGCATGGCATTTAAAAAAAATAGATTTACACTGATAATAATAACAATAAAAAGCAGAAAACTCTAAAACTGTTAATTAAAAGCACTTTCAAATCTTAAAGAAAAGCAATAAATTATTATTTAAAAGAATTTCCTTATTAAGATTGCTTTTGCTTCCAATATTTATTGTACAATCCAAAATTTCGTCCAATTCCTAACCTTATTCTGGAAATGATTTGAAATCTTATGCGTTATGAGAATAAAATTGCAATAAAGTAGCAAACCAGCTGCACCTAAATGACAGAAAAAGTCCTAACTGCTCAAAGACTCTCTCCGAAAGTCCAATATTCTGTCGTTCTCAACTTTACTTAATTAAAATAAAATGACTCCATTTTATAAAAACAAAATGCAACACTTTTTTTTTTTACACAAATTGTTCCAGCATATCTTCATGACAACCCGAAGTCTATATCGTTTTACATTTAAAATAAAAACGAGACGAATTTTAGCTAGTAACTCCAACACAAATAAATAACAAATAAAAAGAATCTACTTTCAACACTAAAACTGATTTCTAATAGCAATAGCACACTTTAAAAGAATTAAATATAATCGTATTCTCAATGATTTAACAGGTGCTTCAGAATTAACAATAGATGATAATAAATCTGTTTATTTTTAACCTGCTTCTATTATTTAAAGGATCTTCGAGCTGCCTAAAAATAATACTTATTATCATTTTAAAAAAGCGAAAAAAAATTTGTATCTCTTCTTCGTTCAAGAAACTTTGAAGTTTACATCGTTTCAAACTTTTATATTAAAAAACTTTTGTAATAAAACTCATTCATGCATCTATTTATTATTTTATTTTCTAAGTCCAGTTGGAAAAAGAGACATATTCTTAAGACTTCTTTTTTTTACTGTTGTTTGGAACATTCATTATAACCTCTTCCATCAGAAGTAATTTGAAAATGATAAGACACCCTACGTGAAACAAATGGCAACAAATTACTGAAAGCTAAAGTGTGATTAGTCGACAGAAAAAGCCTCAGCTCAAATGCACAGTTCTCAAAAGATTTAATATTACGCTAGTCGATTCATCAGCTATCTACAAATCAGCGACAGAAAAAAAAAAAATTCTTATTAAACTTTCCTCCGTCATTCATATGATGCATCGCCTTTTGATTTCCAATTTATGAACTGCAACAATTTCAAATACAACCGGACTTCATGGACAGAAACGCTCCAATTAATGGGCATTACATTGCTCATTAGCCACTTTGGATTCTGTCATGAGCTAATGAGCGCCAATAGATCATGAGCGTGAAACAAATCAGATAAATAATCTCTTAATAGCTCTTTTATAATTCTTTTTGCAGCTTTCATCGATGACTCTTAGGGGTCGAGTTTAATTCCACCAGAGAAATAAAAAAAAACAGCGAGACGGGATAATAAGATCCTTTACGGATCTAACAGCCAGAAAGATTGTTGCAAGATCTCATTGAGCTTTCTGTGCGGGCCAACGCATGAGTTGGTAATAAATCATAACCAGAATCACGATTAAGACATAACAGCGCATTATATACTCAAATAAATGATATAAAACCAGAACAAATGAATCAGGTAAAAGCTGAAGAGGTAATCTGAGGGGCGTGGTTTCAACCACTGTTGTGATGGGGGTGCCTTCCAGAACAATTCTCAAATCTTGTCTCGTTTCTTTAATTGTTGCCCCCTGATCTGAACCCTCTTGTAGCTTTTCCCCACGCATTGACGAATGATTTTAAATACAGAGGAGAAGACATGTGAAATATAGATAACAAGCCTTATCCATGAGCAATCAACATGTTCGGCTTTGTTGTTGGATTGTTAAATAATATTTTTAAAGCCACCACACACATGGGCCCCGGATATTGCCGAATCGGGTCATCACACGTTTGGAATGACTCTATTTTGCTGCAAATGAAGCCATTTTGATGATTGAGTTAGAATAGGATAGCAGAAGTACGAAGAATCATTTATAATTGCATTTTCACAAACAAATTGTCTTCAGATGCGTCAGAGATCCCGTTTAAGTTATGGTTAAGAAAAATTAGCCATCTACTTGAGGATTACTACTAGAGGAATATTTAACTCACCACTTTTGTAATATAAAACAAAACAAAAAAAAATATGAGGTAACCCAACAATATTAAAGATCTGTTTAATCAAAATAAATACATAGTTCTAAATTTATTTTCAAATGCGGGTCTTCATTTATTTCGATACGACTAATACATTGACAAAATGTGTCTACATAAATTTATAATATTCATATATTTTAGTATTTTTTCTTTTTGAACAATCTTGACTCTCTGTAAGTTAAACAGCGATGAATGAGAAGAAATCAAAGTGGTTGATGAAATGAGAAAAGAAGGGAGGTCCTAGCACTTTGAAAATTAAGAAACGTATTAAATTTAAGCCGGAAAATAGATATTAATGTTTAAATTTCTGCCTATTTTGTAGCCTCCCTTTTCTTGAATTCAAAATGGTAGCTAAAGTTCATTTGAAGGTAGGGGACAAATTTAGGTACTCACTTTTAATCAAAATAAAATATTAAAAACGATAAAACAGTACCCAACTTTCCCTTACTACTGTAACGCTTATCATCTTCAAATTTAGAATTGCATCATAAATTTAAACAAAAACATTAGAACATTTCGAAATAACCTATTAAATCACGAATAAGATTTTAATGAATTTAAATTAACAGCTTTGATAAAAAGCCTAAAAGCCATGTGGTGCCGTTAAATGCATTTTCTTACTGACACTGATATTAATTTATAGGCTTAATTAAGTAATCTTTTCATACATTTAAAGCAAAACTTAAAATATTCACGTTTAATTTAGCAATATTCTAAGTAGTCTCAGAAGCAATAATTTGAAGTAGGACTATAACAATTGAAATTTAATTAATTTTTTCAGGGTACGTTTTTTCCTTCTTGTGTTATGATCATACATGGCAACGTTACTTTTAAAAAGAAACGAGTAAAAGTACAAGTATTTTTAAAAAAAGTAACGAGAAAAAGTTCTTATTTTAAAAAGGAACGAGTAAAAAGTACAAGTAAAAGTACAAGTACTAAACAAAAAAAGTAATGATTTAAAAGTACATTTCTGGGAAATCGAAAGTTCAAAGTAACCTAAAATTTTACTGAATAATATTCTTACGCTCTTTAATGTTTTTGCAAAATTGTTGTTA